GTATTTCGGGCGCCGCGGTGGCTAAGAGATGTTGACTACCTCGCCTGGTACGCAGGAGGTCGTGGGTTCGAGCCCGACCCTGACGCCTGCTGCTGTTTATTTGGAGTCTGCGTGTCTCTCTCCCCGTGGATTTTTGTCCGGGTCCTCCTCCGGTTTTCCCCTCCATATTGAGAATCAACGTCAAGCGTTTCGAGTTGTTTGGCTGCGATAGATGTCCACGTGATGAGCCACTTGTGATTGCCACGTGGCTTCTGAAGAAGAGCTTAGTAGTGGGCCTTACCTGGTGAAATTAAAACACAATTTATTTAGTTAATTTATTAAAATCGCCCAATGACCTCAAGTGTCGCCGTACAGGCAGTAGGCTCGTGCAGGACTTTGCTGGCGAGTTGGGAGGCAGTCGCCCTCCGGCAGCAGCAGCAGCAACAACGGAGGGCAGAGGAGCGACGCTCACAACAACGAGCGGAGCGCCGGGCGGATAAAACGCAGCGAGTTTGGGAGCACAGCAGTGATGGTGCATCTATCTGCCAGGCATCTCAGTCACGTGCGGGGTCTGTCCCGTGTCCTCCCGCCAGCGGGCATTCGACAGGTCCACGTAGCCTCAGCGTGCACCTAGCCTGGCACAAGCGCCGCGTTGTTGTGAGCGTAATACGACTGCGATGGGTGCGAGTGGTTGTAGATGCCCGCGGCTTGACGTGGAGTGAGATCCGTCTGGTAGCGACACAGTTTCCTCCACCTCCACGCCGACGGGAAAGCACCACAGCGACCAATGCGGGCAACGCAGGTGACTTGCGCAGAACGGATGCAGCGATTAGTGTCACATCACAAAGACAAATATTCCCCCCCCCCCCGTGTAGCCTTCACCGCCTGTCGGGGCAAGTGCTTTCTTGCGAGTATAGCAGCACACGAGGAGGTGGCGAGTGACCGGCACCACGCCCGGCCGCTGTGTACACACCGTGCACCAAGGTTACACGTTTCAGGCTGAGTCGACCTAGGCCTCGCCCAAGGACCAGTTCTAGCACGCGGCAGGCGCTCGCTTCCTCCACTCACCCCCTGGAAATCCCCCAACTCTGCGAGCGCGCGTCAGACTGAGTACACAGCAACACCTGCACACCGTGCACGGCGTCGCGAGACAAAGATCTCTGCCCCCCCCACCCCTACCGCAGGCTCACGGCCGCACACGACAAAGGGAGTAGGAGAGAGAGGGAGGGAGATGGGGGAGGGAGATGGGGGGAGGGAGATGGAGCGCCATGTACAGGGCGAGGAAGGTGGCCGTGGAGCAGAGGTCGCAACCGGGTACCCGATACCCGTACCCTACCCGATACCCGGCTACCCGTACCCGGCCAGGTACGGGTACGGGTACCCGTTTGCGACCCTGGTACGGCCGGGTACGGGTACGGGTAAGGAATCAAAACCCGTTTGCGACCTCTGCCGTGGAGGGGAAACGTCCGGCCAGCAGCCCTGGGGCATCTTCCGCGCTCCGGTCGGAGCCCCAGGGTGTGTGGGCCGGAGTTCCGCCATGCGGCGCGGCTGACCCACGCCGTGCCGGCCTTCAAGTTCAAGTTCATGTATTAGGTGTAGCCCTGTGAGCCATTCGGCTCTTGAATCGGGTGCAACCGCAACAAACAAAAAAAAAATAACAAAAAACATCTTAAAGTGAATATGTGACTGAGTGCAAACAGACATTCAAGGAGCGGTGGGCGTGTGCTCGGTCGGTGGCACAAGACGGAGAGCTCTGAGCTGCCCGTCGGAGGCCGCGGGAATCTGCGAGAGGGGCTGGTGCAGATGCAGCACTCGTCGGGAGGGAGATGGAGGAGAGGGGCGGCATCATCATCGTCGAGCCGAGTGGCGTGGACGCTGCTGCCACGTGGGGGTCTCGCACGAGGCCACCCGCACGCACCCCACGTGGGGCCAGGACCGCCTTTGTCTCCCCCCAGTGCCGGCGTTCACACTTGTAATTATGGCCGAGTCGATCTAGGGGTGGCCCACGGCCGGCTCAGATATCCCCCCCACTGATCTTATCCGTTTGGGTCAGAGTTGAGACTTGAGTGTTAGTTTTATACTCCAACTTCGTTCAGTTTGTTTCTATACATCACCGGGCAAGGAGCAGCGAGCTCCTTTTCAGCAGTTACTCGTTTGAGGCTGAGTCCACCTAGGGGAGGCCCAGGAGCGGTTGAAATAATCGTCACCGGTGGTGGCCGTGAGCGGGAATCGAACTCGGGTCACCGGGTTCGTAGCGCGGTGCGCTACCCGCTACACTACAATGCGTGACGCTACCACGTGCGCGGGTCACGTGACAGATGTGACGTCACAGCTCACTTGCCGTGCAAAAAATATCTGCATTATTGAGGCCCCTCCCCCCCCCCACAAAAAAAAACAAAAGTGTATTTTTATGTTTGCTCGGTGTACAGTCTGGAAAGTACCCACATGGCAAATTTAAAGTTTGTTGCATGTCGGGAAGTACGCTAAACATTTTTTTTGTCTTCTCGACAGACCTGTTCTCCACCTGAGGACGGCTGCTTGCGTTGTGGCCGAAACGTCGTGAGAATTATTTTATTATGTTTTTTTTTATTATTTCCATTCTACGTGACTTTACCGAAAGAACCAAGAAGATACGCTAAACATGTTGAACAGACACACACACATTCACACGACTTTATATATATGTAGAAGATATCCCTGTGAGCCACGCGGCTCTTGTGACGGGGAGCGGTGCCTCTCGGCCTGGTGGCAGCGCACAGACTCCGCGCTCAGCGGGCGCCCGAGCCCTGGATGACCCCGGGCAGAGGTCGTTGACGCCCGGCTCCGCGTTCTGTCCCCACGCCCGCGTGGCCACGCGATGTCCCCCTCTGCTGGACTCATCAAGAATCAAGTTCAATTTCGATTTAAAGCTTTCGTGACTGCAGGGATTCACCTTCTTGGTTCTTTTTCGGTAAAGTCACGTCGAAGGGAAATAATAAAATAAAAAAATAAAACTTAATAAAATAATATATAATAATAAAATAATATAAAAATAATATACGTATATAATGATATAATATATTATAATAATAATATAATAATAATATAATATTATTATATTATTAATATATTATTATTATATTTCGATTTAAAGCTTTCGTGAGTGCAGGGATTCATCTTCTTGGTTCTTTCGTTAAAGTCACGTAGAAGGGAAATAATACAATAATAAAAATAAAATATAATAAAATAATTCTCACGACGTTTCGGCTACAACGCAAGCAGCCGTCCTCACCTGAGGACGGCTGCTTGCGTTATTATGTTTTATTTTTATTATTTTATTATTTCCCTCCTACGTGACTTTACCGAAAGAAGCAAGAAAATCAAGTTCAAGTTCATGTATTAGGTATAGCCCTGTGAGTCATTCGGCTCTTGAATCGGGTGCAACCGCAACAAACAAAAGACAAAAACATGAACAAGAAAATATCTTAAAGTGAATATGTGACTAAGTGCAAACGGAAAATCCAAGAAGACACTATGTTTGTTCCCCAGGGGTGTACTTCACTCCGCGACTGGGGTACCAATCGATCCGACATCAGTGCCACACTCCGCGGTGTCGAAACTCCAAACATCAGCACGACACAAATCCGTTATCGTAAAATTCAACTTTGAATCGTGAATCGTGTCCAGCCCGAGTCGAGATGAGTCGACTGCCCCACCGGCCACCATCAAGACTCACAGTGACTGCGTCACGGGCATCGTGCGAGAGCCGTGGTGCTGTGGGACCCCGTGGCGCTGTGGGGACCACGTGGTGCTGTGGGGACCACGTGGTGCTGTGGGACCCCGTAGTGCTGTGGGGACCACGTGGTGCTGTGGGGACCCCGTGGTACTGGACATTCGAACCAGGTTTTTTCGTATCTCTGAAAGTTCGTAAGTCAAATGTTGTTAAGTCGAGGAGTCCCTGTACAAGCAGACACCTGGCCTCAAGTAAACTCCACGAGATTCTAGACGAGATGTATACAACACGTGCACAGTGCGGGACACACGGATACAACAAGGACGACTGCTGCTGCTGCTGCATCTCAGCTGGGCCCACAGAGTGGAGTGGACTTGGGAGTCAGAAGAAGGCTGCACACAGACAACCTGATGGTGGTGATGGTGGTGGTGATGGTGATGATGGTGTTGATGGTGCTGGTGATGATGGTGGTGATGGTGGTGGTGATGGTGGTGGTGATGGTGGTGATGATGGTGGTGGTGGTGCAGGCAGTGAAAGTGAAACTAGTAGGACACACCCACACACGTAGTAGTAGTAGTAGTATGCTGGACAACAGGAACAGTGTGTTGTGGTGGTTGTTGTTCTGGAACCGGAAGGGGAGGAAGAGCCAACAGAGGATGGCGTGACGAGGACGACGAGGACGTGAAGAGACGGGTGCCAGAAAGATGTGGCCGCGACTTGCATGTTTCTTGTGGGGGGCTGGAGAATCTCACCCCCCCCCCAATTCCGCCGCGCTGCAGTAGAGGGCAGCACCCTCTTGCTGAACTGCCTCTGAGTATGGGTCTCTCTGGGTATGTGGGTTTCTATTGGTCTCTATGGTTCTATACGAGTCCCATTGACTCGGACAGAAATACAATAGACTCACACAGAGACGCACAGACTCACAGAGAGACCTATAGACTCACACAGAGACCCACAGACTCACACGAAGACCCACAGACTCACACAGAGACCCACAGACTCAGAGACCCATAGACTCACACAGAGACTCACACGGAGACGCACAGACTCACAGACCGACAGACTCACACAGAGACCCATAGACTCACACAGAGACCCACAGACTCACACAGAGACCCACAGACTCATACAGAGACCCACAGACTCACACAGAGACCCACAGACTCACACAGAGACCCACAGACTCACACAGAGACCCACAGATTTACATCAAAATGTATACTGGACTCACGAGACATCTAGATTTACATACACATCAAGACTCATAGACATATTGAAGGCAATACTGTATATATGGCGAGGCAGAATCTTGCATTCGTAGTATATTTATTTAATTCTCATGAAGATCATCACGTACACCGCAATCTGAATTTTATATATTTTTTCAAATCTTTAAAATTCCACCTTTGTAGTTGCAACACAAAATCACGTCGTGTGTTTCAATCAACTCCTCATGGTTCCTTTGATCATTGAATTCCTTTCATTTAACCGGGTCGCAAGTCACCACCAGCTCACGAGCACAAACACCTCGCAGTTGAGAGCACGTGCCAGGCGTCCGATCACCGACGGATTCCCCGCGGGGACAGCGCTGCACCTCCCAACATCCCCCGCTGCACCTCCCAACGTCGGTGAGTGTCGGTGAGTGTCGGTGAGCCCCCGGTGAGCGTCGGTGAGTGTCGGTGAGTGTCAGTGAGTGTCAGTGAGCCCCCGGTGAGCGCCGGCGAGTCCCGGTGAGTGCCGGTGACTTGTGGTGAGTTCCGGCGAGCGAGCGCGGCGTTCACATGGTGAGTACCATCTTGCCGAGCGTGGGGCTGCCGGAGACGATCTCGTCGTGGGCGCGCGCCGCCTCCTCCAGCGGGAGGCGAGTTCCCACCGCGGGACGCAGCCAGCCGCTCTCCACGCCGGCCTGCAGCGCCGCGGCGCTCTCACGGCGCTCCTCCTGCAAGAGGGGGCGGGGGGCAGGGTCGTTCTAAACAACGACTAAACTATGCTCCTCCTGCAAGAGGGCGGGGGGGGGCAGGGTCGTTCTAAACAACTACTAAACTATGCTCCTCCTGCAAGAGGGGCGGGGGGGCAGGGTCGTTCTAGACAACTACTAAACTATGCTCCTCCTGCAAGAGGGGCGGGGGGGCAGGGTCGTTCTAGACAACTACTAAACTATATTGATGTAACGACTAAACTATGTTTTGTTCTACGAGCTGCCACGTAGCTCAACGGAGTGGCTTGTCCCGCACCTCGCTCAGCGCGCTTGGCTACGTACGGTAGAAAGTGCAGCGTACGCACGTCCACACAGGTGCGGTGGGGGGTGCGGTGGGGGGTGCGGTGGGGGGTGCGGTGGGGGGTGCGGTGGGGGGTGCGGTGGGGGGTGCGGTGGGGGGTGCGGTGGGGGGTGCGGTGGGGGGGCGGTGGGGGGGTGGTGGGGGGGTGCGGTGGGGGGTGTGGTGGGGGGCGGTGGGGGGTGCGGTGGGGGGTGCGGTGGGGGGTGGGGTGGGGGGTGCGGTGGGGGGTGCGGTGGGGGGTGCGGTGGGGGGTGCGGTGGGGGGTGGGGGGCGCTCACCGCGTTGCAGTTGAAGAGGCTGACCCCCATGACGTGCAGCTCGCGCATCAGCGTCTCACGCGGATTCATCTCCACGGCGCCACGGCAACCGATGATCTGGGAGGGAGAGTTGGTGGTGGGTGGTAGGTGGTGAGTGACGGTGGACGAGTGGTGGCTGGGTGGCGGTGGGTGAGTGGTGAGTGACGGTGGGTGAGTGGTGAGTGGTGAGGTGTGTGGCGGTGGGTGGGTGGTGAGTGTTAGGTGTGTGGTGAGTGGTGGGTGGGTGAGTGGTGGGTGGTGGTGGGTGGGTGGTGAGTGGTGAGGTGTGTGGCGGTGGTTGGGTGGTGAGTGGAGAGTGGTGAGTGGCAGTGAGTGGTGAGCGGTGGGTGGGTGTGCGACGGTGGGTGGTGAGTGGTTAGGTGTGTGATGGGTGGTGGGTGGTGAGTGGTTAGGTTTGTGGTGGTGGGTGGGTGCTGAGTGGTGGGTGGGTGACAGTGGGTGGGTGGTGAGTGGAGAGTGGTGGGTGGGTGGTGAGTGGTTAGGTGTGTGGTTGTGACGGTGGGTGGGTGGTGAGTGGTGGGTGGGTGGGTGGTGAGTGGGTGGTGAGTGGTGGGTGTGGCGGTGTCACTCTCCGTGCTGGAGTGTCTGCCAGAGAAACGTCTCACCACCACGCGGCCGTTCTGCCCCAGCAGCTTGAGGTCGCTGGGAAGGTTGACGTTGGCCAGCATCTCAAAGACGACGTCCACGCCGCGCGGGTACAGCTCCTGACCGCCAACCGGCACACACCATCACGCTATTCACATTCTAGTCGACTGTCACCAAAGTTGTTTCGCCAAAGTGATGTCGTGTGAACAGAACGCAGGTCGGTTGTTAATATCTGAAATTGTTATCTTCGGCACGTACCACTGCTACATCTTGTTTTATTTTACCGCACGTCTGTGAAAAAATAGAGCTTCATAGCTCATCGGATTCCTCCAGTAGGAAGAAATATTCTCATTCTAATTGTACCAGGTAAGTTCCTACTGAGCTATGAAGTGACCTGACCATCACGAATGATAGCTCAACAAAGTGGCTTCTCATCAACCATCACGTGGAGAATATGTATAGCAGCAGCCAAATCTAAACTTGACCACGGGGAGTTTGCGAGATGTTAACTCCCTCGCCTGGTATGCAGGAGGTCGTGGGTTCGATCCCGACCCTGACGCCTGCTGTTGCTGTATATTTGGAGTTTGCGTGTCTCTCTCTCTCATCATCATCACGGTGGCTAGGAGATGTTAACTACCTCGCCTGGTGTGCAGGAGGTCGTGGGTTCGATCCTGACCCTGACGTCTGCTGCTGTATATTTGGAGTTTGCGTGTCTCTCTCTCTCATCATCATCACGGTGGCTAGGAGATGTTGACTCCCTCGCCTGGTATGCAGGAGGTCGTGGCTTCGATCCCGACCCTGACGCCTGCTGTTGCTGTATATTTGGAGTTTGTGTGTCTCTTCCCGCCGTGGTCATGTGGATTTTTTTCCGGGTCCTCCGGTTTTTCCCTCGACATCTAGAATCGACGTCACCGTGCGCTCAGAGTATTTGGCTGCTGCTATCAATTTCCACACGACGACGACGATGATGACGATGATGACGATGATGACGAGCCAATTGGTTGAGCGATCATTTGTCATGGGCAGGTCGCTTCTGAAAAACAGCTACACAGCTCACTGGTAAAATAACATTTTGTTTTTATCAGGCGTCAAGGGTGAAGGGTCGAACCCACGACCTCCTGCATACCAGACGAGGCAGTTAACACCTCGCCACCAATCGACGGCGTGACGGACCACTCGCCTGTATGCGGCCCACGTATCCATCCTCGCGGTGGTCGAAGGTGCTGTGGGCCCCGTGTTTGGCCACCAGCTCTAGTCCCTCGGGCGACCCGGCCGTGCCGATCACGTGCGTGCCCAGCGCGCGCGCCATCTGGCACAGCGCAATGCCGACCTGCGCTCGCACGCGGCGACGCATTTTCTTTTAACGTTCAAAGCCAGGACTACGACGTCGTAGATTGTGCGAGCGTGCGTGTGTGCGAGCGTGCGTGCGAGCGAGCGTGTGTGCGAGCGTACGAGCGTGTGTGCGAGCGTACGAGCGTGCGTGCGAGCGTGCGAGCGAGCGAGCGTGCGTGCGAGCGTGCGAGCGTGCGTGCGAGCGAGCGTGCGGCAAGGCTCACCCCGCCGCTCGCTCCGTGGATGAGCACCGTCTCCCCCGGTCTCGTCGCGGCCCTTCAACCCCACGGACACACAGAGACACGTCCCGTCGGGACATCACGGATCGTTGTTAAGCCATCATTTGTGATAGCCAGTTAACAATATAGCTCAGTGGGCCCTACCTGGTGAAATAAAAATAGTTCCTAGTTTAGTCTGCAGGAGGTTGTGGGTTTGATCCTGACCTTGGGGACACCTGCTGTATATTTGGAGTTTGGGTCTCTCTCTCTCTCTCCTTGGCCACGTGGGTCATCCGTTATTCCCCACAACATTTAGAATCAACGTCATGCGTTTAGAGTATTTCGCTGCCACTATGAATTTCCACACGGTGACGACGACGACGACGATGATGATAAGCCACTTACCGTCATCATAAACTAACTACACACTCCCAGTGGGGCCTTACCCAGAAAAAGAAAAAAAAATTGCTTAAAAGTTTAAGGCAACTGGAGTGACATCACCGCTGTTGATGCCCATGATCAGACGTCCAGCGATGTTTAGTTTAATTTAAGTTTTAGAAACTGGGGCCCACTGTAAAATCTCCCCCCCACCCCCCCCGGCTCTCTTCGTAGCTCAGGTTCCCCCGGAAGCCCCCGGACCTCGGTGCAGTCGCACCGCCTGCGCTCCCGATGCCCGCGTCGCCGCGGAGCCGAACGCCGGGCGCGTTTACTTTTGCACGAGGGCGCGGTAAGCGGTGAAGTACGGCACGCCCAGCGCGGCGCCCTGCGGGAAGTCCAGCTGGGCCGGCAGCGTGAAGACGCGGTCGTGAGCCACGCACACAAACTCGGCGTAGCCGCCCTCCGCCAGCGCCGTGTATACGCGGTCGCCCGCCTGCTCGCAACACCGAAGGTAAAGGTCCCCCCGTGAAGCCTTCAAGACAGACTGCGTGTGAGCACGAATAGAGGCGGCTAAACGGGCGCGGCTCGATCTAGGGGAAGAGATGGAGTGATGACTTGCCGATGACCGGTACGAGCGGTGTCAAGATCGGCCTCTGCGGAGGAGGCTCGTGAAGGACGCTGCTACTGGGCAGTTGGAGGCAGTCGCCCTCCAACAACAACGGAGGGCGGAGGAGCGACGCTCACAACAACGAGCGGAGCGCCGGGTGGCTAAAACACGGCAAGTTGACACAGTAGTGGGCACAGGTGGTGCATCGGGTAGTCATCTCAGTCAACCAATGGCACCACCTTGATCTATCCCGTGACCTCCTGCCAGTGGGCATTCGACACTTCACATGGCCTTAACGTGCACCTAGCCTGGCACAAGCGCCGTGGTGACATCACCGCAACTTAGTGGCGCATGGCGGTTGTTTGTTGAACTTCTTTCGCACCATACGTAGCCAACCGTGCTCATCGGAGATGCGGGGGGAGGACAACAATCTAAACACAAAAAGCAGCTCTAGAGGATCGAGTTGTCACTCTAGACGGTGGAACACAAAGACAAAGATCCCCCGCGCGGCCTTCAACAATTACCAAGACGGACTAAACCCGCAGTGGTTAGGAGATGTTAACTCCCTCACCTGGTATACAGGAGGTCGTGGGTTTGATCAAGACCCTGACGCCTGCTGTATATTTGGAGTTTGAGTGTCTCCCTCCCCGCGGTTGCGTGGATTTTTCTCCGGGTCCTCTGGTTTTTCCCTCCACGTATAATCAACGTCACGCGTTTAGAATATTCGTTTGGCTGCTCTACATTTCCACACGATGGTGATGATGGTGATGATAATCCACTTCGTTGAACTATCATTTGCGATAGGTACGTCGCTTCTGAAAAAGATCCACATATCTCAGTGGGGCCTTACCTGGTAAAATAACAAGTTTAGTGTTTAGTTTAACCCGGTCATATACAATACAAGTGCTATGCACTGGCGCCATCTGTTGGTGGAGGTTACGATTGTTTCAAATACTAATTCTTCGTCGGGAAATTTTATTTGCCATCAGCCATCACGAAAATTGTTGCGTGCCAATAATGAGAGTGTTTGTTGAGATTTAAATTAAACTACTGCTATCACAAATGATAGCTCATTAAGTGGCTTATCATCGTCATCACGTACACATTTACATAGCAGCAGCCAAATACTCTAAACGCGTGGTGACGTTGATTCTAAACGTGAAATGGAGGACCCGGAGAAAGATCCACGCCACCACGGGGAGAGATAGAGAGACACGCAAAGTGCAAATATACAGCAGGAGTCAGGGTTGGGATCGAACCCACCACCTCCTGTATATCAGGCGAGGGAGTTGACATCTCTCCTGGCCAAACTGCGGCACCCCAATGTGCCACAAGGTCCACAGCAGAACAGAATCTCTCTCCTACAACCCAGGCCGTGGATCGCCGCTGATCTAACCCGCACACACAACAACAACCAGTTTAACACGTAGTAATAGTAGTAGCAGGGCTTTCGCGACACCAATATTATCCATAAGTTTTTTTTGGGTTAGAGCGTATAAAATATAATAATGGCTTTAAACCCGTAACCACCCAACACAGCCAATCGGCAAGGTTTGTCACGTAAACAATGCCTGCCAATAAGTTACTAGTTCGGCACTAGCCGGTGCGTGGTTTGGAGAGTAAACCCACTACAACATTCACATGGACGGGTTTAACGACACGTCCATAATCACTCGATCTAACCCAAAACAGAACCTCTATTGTGGAAAACAAAAAGACAAAGTCCACACCCCCCCCCCCCACCCAGTCACGTGGCCCCCACCTTGAAGGAGGAGATGGAGCGGCCCACCGACTCCACCGTGCCGGCAACGTCGCCCCCCGGGGTCCAGGGCAGCTCGGGCCTGCGCGTGTGCGTGCCCGTGCGTATGTACGTGTCCACGGGGTTGACGCCGCACGCACGCACGCGGATCAGCACCTGCACGCGTTGGTGACGGGGTGGGGCGGGGGTCATGGTGATGGAAGGTGGGGAGTTTATAACTCGTTCGCTCACTCGTCTAGCTGTCCACACACTCACTCACCCAGTTGCTCACTCACTAAGTCATTCACCAATTCACTCAAGAACTCACCCAGTCACTCGCTCACCCATTCACCCACCCAACCACTCACTGACCCAGCCACTCACCCTCTCACCCACCCACTCACCGACCCACACATTCACCTACCCAACCACTCACTCACTTACCCGCTTACCCACCCACTCAGCCACCCACTCACCCACCCACTTAAAATGTATTATTAGAGGCAGTGCAAAGTTCAGGACCGTATGAGTCCATGCGTGGAGGAGAGAGAAAAGAGAGGAGAGGGACAGGAGAGAGAGAGGAGAGAGAGGGATGAGAGACGAGAGAGAGGAGAGGGAGAGAGTGAGAGAGGGAGGAGAGAGATGGAAACAGAGAAAAGAGAGGAGGGGGAGAAGAGACGAGAGAGAAAAGAGGAGAGAGAGACGAGAGAGGCACTTGAGGCTCGGGCAGGTTAAGACTAATCGATCATGGACCAGGCGATGACATTCGTGGAGCCAGGCAGGCAGTTCGCCAAGGATTCCATCCGGCTCGTGAAACGCTGCACAAAGCAGTTTCAGAAGATCGCAATAGCGACGGCAATTGGCTTTGCCATAATGGGCTTCATCGGCTTCTTCGTGAAACTCATCCAAATTCCCATCAACGACATCATTATTGGCAGTTCAGATCAACAGGAGTTCTACTTTAAAAGAGATGCTGTCACTTCTGGAGTTAACTTTATATCGTCAACAGTGAAATGCCATAATGTTGCAAAATGTGTCCAATGTTTTACCAGCCGTTTTTGACATTCAGTTTTGTCTTGACTCATGAATAAAGCCCATGTGAGTGTTGTAAAAAAACGAGAGGGAGGAGAGAGGGGGAGGAGAGAAAGAGGGAGAGGAGAGAGGGAGGAGATAAAAGAGAGGAGGGGGAGGAGAGACGAGAGAGAAAAGAGGAGAGAGAGGAGAGAGCCGAGAGATAAAAGAGAGACCTCTTTGTCGTTGGGCGAAGGAACGGGAACGTCCGTCTGCAGGCGCAGCACGGAGGACGGCCCGAACTCCCGCATGCGGATGGCCCGCATCACTCGCACGGCCTGCTGCATCTGACACGCACACGGAGCCCGCGGCAGTTGACGTAGAGGACCGTGCCACCCGACTAACACGCCGAGTTACGCGAAGGCAATATCAGTCGCGAGCGGGGAATCGAACTCGGGTCGTCAGGGTTCGTGGGGCGGCGCCGCTAACCGTTGCGCCACCGCTCCCCCGCTAAATGGACACGTGACGCACACGCACCCAAAGTGAAGTGGGCGGCGTGGCCGGCGCCTGGCTACATCCAGTCACTACCAGCAGCAGCACCACGTGTCTGAGCAAAAGGTCAAGAGGTTAACCATGGCCAGAGTCACCGATGCCGCCAAGAGATGCCGCAATGATTGCGACAGATGACACATCGACCTCTCAAAGCTCTCCTAGAGCCTCACCACCACCACCATCTCGTCACAGACCTCTGGAAGCCAACCAAATGCCGTTCTCCACCCTGCTCACGTGCGCCACCCATCACCACCTCCTCACCCTGCACGCCACGTGTCCCAGTTACGGCGATGATGAGCCAACAATGTCTGTGTGTCCCGCGCGTGACGTCACTCCACATCGAACAGCCCCCCTCATTAATAATCATGACGAGGTGACGTCTTACAAATGGACACCCCCCGCCGCCATTAATATTAATTAGCGGGTGACGTCACTCCACATGGGGGGGGGGGGGGCGAGGCGCCTCCTCCCCCCTCCTCGGCGCCAACTCACAACCCTCACTCACAAGGCAGAACCCTCACGTCACGTGGTCTCCGTCACGCTGCTGTTGAGACATCGAAGTAAAAAGGACGTCGTGACGAACGAGGGATTATCACCGTCACATGTAACAGGTCTGTGTCACCGCACCCTTACTAATTGCACACAAATTGATGCAATGAATATCAAGTTTAGGATTTACTCCAATGCACCCGTCCTTGGACGGGCAAAAGTCTAGTGAAGTATATTCACGACGCATGTGTTGTGTTTATTAACACGACAAAAACCCTGAACACGACTGCGTTTCAGCTCCCGCGGCGGGAGACGGACTCGAAGTCTGGCGCCTGTGGGACAACTCAGAGTCTCAGAGTCGTCTGCTGGAGTTTGCTGGAAGTCAAATCCCTCTCGGCAGTGATCTGTCGCGTGCGCGTGTCAAGGTGAATCGTTGCACGTGTGCGCCACACCACGTGCTTGACACGTGGTGCGTGTACAGGTGGACACGTGGTGCGCGTGCATCCCAGTGCGCATGCGTCACCTCACAGCTGCGTCAGAGGGACAATGATTCGGGTCGTGGTGGGGTTACATTTGACCATACTTCACCACGCCGGTGAGCGGAAGCAATCAATTGGCGTGGTGCCGTAGAAGTGCAGTACAACAATGGGCGTTGTGCTCCAATGGCCGCCTGATGTCCACTGCCCCGCAGCAGCAAGCCTATAGCACCTGTTATGCACGGACCCGGTGGTGTCGCTACAAACCTGGTCACCCGAGTTCGATTCCCGCTCACGGCCAACACCGGTGACAGCGATTATCTGAACAGATCTGAGGCCTCCCCTAGGTCGACTCAGCCTCAAATGAGTACCTGGTGTAGCGGTGTGTAGTCAACATCGCCAGCACTGGGGGGGGGGGGGGAGAGACAAAGGCGGCCCGGTCGTGGTGCCGGCCTTCAGAGGCCCTCCTCGCTAACAGCACTTGCCCCTGCAGTCTGCTGAGGCTACCCGGGGGATCTTTGTCTTTGGTTACCCGTCCAAGCAGCTTCCCAGTCCCACGAGACTTCTGCAGATTTCACTTCGAGATCGGAATCGCGAAGAGGCTTGTTAATGTGCTCGATGTTTAACAATAATTAATATTTAATTTGCTTTTAGAGGCACTGACCTGCAATTGTTATGGAGGCCTTCACCCAGCAGTGGACAGAGACCACGGCTGCCCTGATGGTGGATAACCGTGCACCTTGTGGAATAATGTTTTTTAAACAAATGTACGACGAAAACGAAGCGTATTGTGTGTTAGACAAACGCGTGCGACAATACCCACGTGCCCTACTGTACAGCGGCACTGCAGCGCGCTCGAGTTTGACGCGGATCGTGACAGCGCCCAGAGGCGTCAATGCGTCGATGCTGCTGCGCGCTGCGTGGCGAGAGAGAGTTTGTCGCTGAGAAGGATCGTGGCCATGGTTGACAATGGCGAGCTGCTGAAGGTGAAACACTAAAGACGGTGGTGGTGTTGGTGGTGGTGTTGGTGTTGTTGGTGTTAGTGGTGGTGGTGTTGTTGGTGTTGTTGGTGTTAGTGGTGGTGGTGTTGTTGGTGGTGTTGGTGTTGTGGTGTTGGCGGTGTTGGTGGTAGTGGTGTTGGTGGTGTTGTTGGTGGTGGTGTTGTTGGTAGTGGTGGTGTTGGGTAGTGGTGGTGTGTTGGGTGTGGTGGTGGTGTTGGTGTGGTGTTGGTGGTGTTGTTGTTGGTGGTGTTGTTGTTGGTGGTGTGTGTTGTTGGTGGTGTTGTTGTTGTAGTGGTGTGTTGTTGTTGGTGGTGTTCGTGTGGTTCGACGTTACCTCGGACACGTCGTGGTGCCTCCTGCGAGGGCAGCAGCGGTCGTGATCGGAAATGGAGCAAGGTGAGAGCGCCCCCCCACCCCCTTGCCAGATACGGGAGGGAAAACCTCCAGATTCATGCAAAATTCTTCCCAAGCCGGACTGGTCAACCATTAAAACAAAATGTGTAACCAGGTAAGGTTATGAAGCTTTTTTTTTTTAAAGCGACCTTGCTACCACAAATTAGAGGGTGAGTGTGTATGTGCATTGGTGAGTGAGTGGGTGAGTGAGAGGGTGAGTTGGTGAGTAGGTGGGTGTGAGTGGGTGAGGGTGAGTTGGTGAGTAGGTGGGTGTCAGTGGGTGAGTGAGAGGGTGAGTGTGTTATGCATTGGTGAGTGAGTGGGTGAAAGGGTGAGTAGGTGACTTGGTGAGTGGGTGAAAGGGTAAGTAGGTAAGTGGATGAGTGAGAGGGTGAGTGTGTTATGCATTGGTGAGTGAAAGGGTGAGTAGGTGAAAGGGTAAGTAGGTAAGTGGATGAGAGGGTGTGTAGGTGAATTGGTGCGTGAGAGGGCGAGTTGGTGGGTGAGTGAGAGGGTGAGTTGGTGAGTAGGCTCCAGCCCCCCACCGCCCGCTTTGTCTTCCTCATGCAATGATGCCGCATTACTTTTCAGCCCCCCAGCTTTCTGTTTGCCCCCCCCCCCAACTATGACCAGACCCTCCTTATCAATCATTCTTGTTTTACTGCATCAAAACTACACTACCACTTACAATAACCCATATCTTAATTTTAAATTATCATGCTCTGTACAATTGTATAATTGCTGTTAGTGCCTTGGTAATGGTGCTTTATAAATCTAATTAAGATGAGAAGAGATAAGTGTTCAGCCTTGCCGGCACTTTTATTCAAACCGCAACAATGGATAGCTTGTGCCCCCTGTGTGCCTACAGAGCGGTGTTCTTCATTGCCTTTAGTGCCGCCCCCTGACATGCAGCCCCCATCACAACACCGCATGTGAAAACACCCCCCATCATCGTGCTGTCAAAGCCCCAATGGTTTCATGTGTGTCGACCCTCACACTGATGATGTCTTATCGGTGAAAGTGGCCCCCCCTCTGAAAAATATAGAAAATCACTGCCATGACCAGTTGGGCCAGACATAAAAAATGTAACCAAAGCTGAAGAGAGAGGAGCAAGTGGATGAGAGGTTACACGCAAGTTCACCTCTTTCCTGTCTACAACGTCTGAAAGTTGCAAGGTGGTGGGTGTCCCCGTTCACCGTGGAATCTCGCAACGCGCAAGTGGCTCGGCGTTCAGTTTATGTAGAGAGGCACAGCAGTCGCGCCGTCGTTTTTAAAGACGTTGCTACTCACCGCAGAGAACCGTCGTGACACGACCGCCGAAACTCTACAATAGCTGGCACCAAACTGTGCCACGCCCTCCCGCGTGGCCTTGTGGGAGCCTCAGCACCGATAAAGTTATTGTTTCTAGATTTGAAGCTTTCGTGACTGCAAGGATTCATACTCTTTGTTTTTTCTGGTAAAGTCACGTAGGTAAAAAAATAAAATAAATGAAAACAACTAAATTAAATCACGACGTTTCGGAGGCAACACAAGCTTCCGTCTTCAGGTGGAACCGTTACAGCCAAAAGCACTGTATTAAGTTATGATGACGTATATGAAAAACAACTTAAAATATAATACATGTATGTCCGGAACGGAAAAGGGTTGATGACATCCAAACCATTAACGCAAAGCGAGTGGGGCTCAGGCAGGATGCGTCACGGCTAGAAGGGACGAAGATGATAGCCAATGGTCAAGAGTAAAAACGGAGTGGCAGCCAAGGAATGGAACGTGTCCGAGAAGACGGCTACCGTGGAGATGAAGCGATGAAATCGGCTCTTGTGCAGGTGGTGGGTGGATTGTTACGTCGCAGAATCATGGCTGCTGCTGCTGCTGCCGATGATGACGACGACGATAATGATGATGACCACAGGGGTCGTTGGTAACTACAAACGATAACCGTTGACTCCCCACGGGGACTGCAGAGCTCGGACGATTGTAGGTGCCGGCTCATCGTGCTGCTGCCTTCCCGCTCATCTGTGGTTCCTCCACGCACCTTGGAGGTGTCCCCTCTGTTCGAGAGCGAGTTCACTATGTTTTTATTATACCAGGTAAGGCCCCACACTGAACTGTACTATCTGTGATAGCCAGTGACCTGGCTATCACAGATAGCTAGAGCGAAGTGGCTTATGTGGAAATCTATAACAGCAGCCAGATACTCTAAAACGTGATGTTGACTACCCTGCCTGGTATGCAGGAGGTCGTGGGTTTGATCACGACCCTGATTCCTTTATATTTTGAGTTTGCATGTCCATCTCCCTGTGGTCGTGTGGATTTTTTCCGGGTCCTCCGTTTTTTTCCCTCTGCGTTCAGAATCAATGTCACGCGTTCAGAGTATTTTGCTGCTGTAAATTTCGAGATTGTGAGCCACCACTTGGTTGAGCTATCATTTGTGATAGCCAGGTCACTTCTGAGCTACATAGCTCAGTGGACCCTTACCTGGTAAAAAACAAAATAGTTAAATTAGTTAAGGTTACCACAAGCAAATATATATTAAAAACACACCGTGTGTGTGTATGTGTGGCTTTAATTGTTGTTGAGGACAATGAGCCAGCCGGGGCAAACCACCCCACCGGGGGAATCGGAACCGGCGCCGCACGAGCGTCGGCCACTAGCAGTAGGAGAGGACCCTGGTGGAGGCAAGCAGCTGGCGCAGGGTGGACGTCAGCGCCGGCGTGGCCGTGGCGGCGGCTCGCATTTCCGCGGGAGTGGAGTCGCGCGCGGCCAGCAGCGCGTGGCACAGCGTCGAGTGAAGCTCGGCGCCATCGGGAAGCTCGTCGGTGAAGGCCGGAGCCGACTCGGACATCCGCAGCCGGCACGACCGCTCGGCCGTCACCAGCAGCAGGCCCCAGGCGTCGCCGCCGGCGGCCTCCTCGCCCTCGCGCACTGCAGCCCAAAAACCAGAAAATGCGATCAAAATGATATGTTATAAATAATTCTCATGAAAACCTACAACTATTAAACGAAAAACTTTTTTATTTTATCAGCCAAGGCCCCACTGAGCTATGTACCTCTTTTTCAGAAGTGACCTGGCTGTCACAAATGACAGCTCATCATCATCACCGTGTGGAAATGTATAGCAGGAACCAAATACTGTAAACGCATGATGTTCATTCTAAATGTGGAGGGGAAAAACCGGCGGACCGGGAGAAAAATCCACGCAACCCCGGGGTGAGAGAGACACGCAAACTCCAAATATACAGCAGGCGTCATCAGGGCCGGAATCGAACCCACGACCTCCATATCAGGCGAGGTAGTTAACCCTTTCCCATTCCGATGACGTATGTGTACATCAAAACGAAATCAGAAGGAAAAAAAAACTATCAGGACCAAGGCTCCCACAAGGCCGTGCGCGAGGCGTGTCACAGTTTGGCAGCAGCAGCTATCGTAGAGTGCGGGCGTGTCGCTGGAGTTCTCCGCGGTGAGTACAATGTCTTAAAAAACAACGGCGATATTACGCCGCTCTAAGTACATTTAACGACGAGCCGCTTGCGAGTTCCGGGATTCGGCGGTGAACGGGACACCCTCACCCTGCGACTCGCAGAAGACGTCTCGGATCGGGAAAGGGTTAAAGAACTTCTAGCCACCGTGGATGTGTGCAGTGCACGTGTCACCTGCATGACGAGCTGGTGAGCACCCCTGGTCGCATTCCATCGGCTCCAGGAGAAGGAGAAGTTTGACACCAGCAGGGCCATCTGCTCGTAGGCCCTGCTCTCTGCCTGCGCGTCCTGGTGGTGTTAGAATCAGAATCATAATATAGGTTTTTGGGTCAGATCACGTTATTTATAAATGTGTCGTAACCCTC